TGTTCTCTCACCATTCCTATTTAACACAGTATTGGAAGTAGTACCCAGAGCAATCAGGCAAGAGAAGAAATAAAGGCATACAGTTTGGAAAAGATGAAGTCAAAATGTCTCTGTTTGCACATGACATGACTCTACATCCAGAAAATCTAAAGACTGTACAAAAAATCTCTTGAGCTGATAAATGATTTCAGTAAAGTAGCAGGATACAAAATTAACATACAAAAATCAGTAGCATTTTATACTCCAGCAATAAACTAGCAGAAAAAGAAATCAAGAAAGCTAGCTCATTTACAATAGTCACCAAAAAAATAAAATACTTAGCAATAAGTATAACCAAGGAGGTGAAATATCTCTACAAGAAGAAGTAAAAATCACTGCCGAAAGAAATTAATGAGGACACAATAAGATGAGAAGAAATTCCATACTCTTGGATTGGAAGAATTAACATTGTGAAAATGTCCATACTACCCAAAGCACTCTAAAGATTCAGTGCAATCCCTGTCAAAATACCAATGACATTCTTCAAAGAAATAGAAAAAGCAATCCTAACATTCATATGGAACAACAAAAGACACCAGATAGCTAAAGCAATCCTGAGCACAAAAAGTAAAGCCAGAGGCATTACACTACCTAACTTCAAATTGTACTACAAAGCTATGGTAACCAAACAGCATGGTATTGGCATAAAAACAGACACTCAGACCAATGGGACAGAATAGTGAACCCAGAAATCAACTCACAAACTTAAAACCAACTGATCTTTGATGAAGGCACCAAGAACATACATTGGGGAAAAGAGTGCCCCTTCAATAAGTGGTGCTGGGAAAACTAGACACGCATAAGTAGAAGAATGAAGCTAGACCTATATCTCTCACTGTATACCAAAGTCAACTCAAAATGGATTAAAGACTTAAATATAAGACCTGAAGCTATAAAACTCTTGAAAGAAAACATAGGAGAAACACTTCAGGAAGTAGGACTGGGCAAAGACTTTACGAATAGGAACCCAAAGTGCAGGCAACAAAAAAAAATAAACAAATGGGACTACATCAAACTAAAAAGCTTCTGTACAGCATGAGAAACAATTAACAGAGTAAAAACACAACCTACGGAATTGGAGAAAATATTTGTATGCATCTGATGGGATTAATATCCAGAATATAGAAAGAACTCAAAACAACTTCACAGTAAAAAAACAGATAATCAAATTAAAAAGTGGGCAAAGGAGCTGAATAGGCATTTCATTTTTGTCTTTTTTTACTGACCGGTAACAGGATCACAACCCTCGGTGTCGCGCCCGTACCGGGGACCGGCAACGGGATCGCAACCCTCGGTGTTGCGCCCGCACCGCGCTCAGCCAGTGAGCGGAACCGGTCTCCACATGGGATCCGAACCCTCGGTGGGAGCGCTGCCGTGCTCCCAAGCGGTGCACTCTCCAGTGCGCCACCGGGCCGGCCCCTGAATAGGCATTTCTAAAAGGCACATATACAAATGTCCAACAGTCACATGAAAAAATGCTCAACATCACTAAGCATCAGGGAAATGCAAATCAAAACCGCATTGAGATATCATCTCACCCATAGTTAGTCTGGATATTATAAAAAAGACAGAGAATGACAAATGCTATCAAGGATGTGGAGAAAGAGCAACGCTCCCACACTGTTGGTGGGACTGCGAAGTAGTACAGCCATTATAGAAACAGTATGGAGGTTCCTCAGACAACTACAGATAGAACTGCCAAACAATCCAGCAATCCCACTACTGGGTATTTACCCAAAGGAATGGAAATCATCATGTCAAAGGGACACCTGCACTCCCAAGTTTATCTCAGCTCTAGTTATAATAGCCAAGATATGGAACCAACCTAAATATCCATCAGTGGATGACTGGATAAGGAAAATGTGCTATATATATACATTATGGAATACTACTCTGCCATAAAAAAAAATGAAATTCTGCCATTTGCAGCAACATGGATGAACTTAGGAAAAATTATGTTAAGTGAAATAAGCCAGGCATAGGAAGAGAAATACTGCATGTCCTCATGCATAAGTGGGAGCTCAAAAAATAAATAGATAAATATAAAGAAAGATAAGGAGGAAAGCTATAGCAGTCATAATAATTTGTTGAACTTTCAAAAGGGGAGAACTGAACTGATACCAGAAGTGGGGGAAGGGGAGGGGGGAGAGACGGTTAGTGAGAAATTGGTAAAGGGATGCAAAAAATGATTACATTGTGTAATGTTGAATACAGTAATTATCCTGATTTGAGCATCACATATTGCACACATGTATTGATTTTCAATGTGCTACCCCACAGATATGTAAAATGAATTATGTTTCAAGAAAAAAAAATTAAAAAAATGAAAATAAATAATATAGAGGTTATATTCAAAATTCAAAATTACTGCCTGGCTTGTATATGCTCTCTTTTATGCTATCTAGAGCATTGAAGTGTGATATTCAAATTGATACTTTAATGACCATATTTAATAATAATATCTTTTTTCTCTCTTCTATGCTAAACTAACTTATGAAAATTATCTTTAATTCTCCTGCTATAATGTATTGAATTATGTTCCCCCAAAACTCATTGAAGGTTGAATTGTGTTCCCCAAGTTTTATGTATTAGAAACTTAGCCCCCACTGTGACTGTTCAGAGGATGGGAAATCCTACCATGGTAGTTGAAAGGTGGAGCCTTGAAGAGGTGATTGGATTGTAGGACTGTGCAGTAGTGAATGGATTAAAAATGGTGATCAGGGGTGTGGTTCTGAGGCTTTAAAAGAGAAGAGTCTGTCTCTCACCTCTCTGCTTCTACCACCATGCAATGTGAGACCCTTGGGTCACTGTCGCCACCACCAGGTATGTTCCTTGGACTTTGGACTTCCCAGCCTCAGAAACTGTAAGCAATAAATTTCGTTTTCTTCATAAATTACCCAGTTCTGTGTATTTTGTTATAAGCAACAGAAACGGACTAATACACCTACTATCTCATTTCATTGATAACTGATAAGCAATGTTACATTCATTAAGAAGCTGAGATGCTGAGACAGTTGTTAGGTGATTTGAAAAGAGTATATAGTATTACAGAGAAATGATGTAAAAATCAAACTGAAGATTCCTATTGTCTTTCTCTCTATGGCAAGGACTCTGCCATGTCAAGGCAACGTGTTTACCTTATGTTTACCTCGCCACTTTTTGAATACAAGTGAAGAAGAGACATGCTGTTGATTCAAAGTTTTATTCTGAGTGTTTAAAACCCATTTGGCCAAGTTAAGATGCTAGATAATGAGATGGGAATTTTGTATTCAATTCTTATAATACAGTTTAGTAATTTGAAATTTGAAATTTTAAGTAAGCTAACTTGTACCTATCACCTGAGAGGATTTGAATAAAAATAAAAACACTCATTCTACAATAGCAACATTGATACAGCATTTTCATAAAATAATCACATTGCTTTTAGGACCTTAATCTTGATTCTTTTGAGTTTAGTTAAAGAGGATTACAAAATAAAAAGTTTAAAATATGGATTTGTTTTCTGTTTCTCAAATGATCAGCTTTGGGCTTTAATTAAAATAACTGAATCAAATAGTCATGGCAGTGGCATCCTCGCAAACCAGTTGTTATTCTCTGTGGTTCTCAGGGAAGCTTTCTAAACGTAGCATTGCATCAGAATCAGACTTGACATGCATTCATAAATGTGAATTCCTGGACATGTCCAAGACGTACAAGCCTTAGTAGGGTTTGGGTACTGAAAATCTGCCTTTTTAACAACATCATTTCTTAAACACATTAAAGTTGAAAATCTCTGATTTAAGTCATTTTAAAGAAAATAAGATTGTTTTAACAGATAAAATAACACCTCACTGAAGCTTTTAAAAATATTATAGTACCTTACTCATGAAAGGCTAGATTTTAGAATTAAAAAATCATAGTTTCTACTTTTTGATGATTTTTGACATTTTTCAATTTCTTTTTTTTTTTTTTTTCCTTTTTGTCTTTTTTCGTGTCTGGCAACAGATCGCAACCCTCAGTGTCGCGCCCATACCGGACTGGGACCGGCAACGGGATCGCAACCCTCGGTGTTGCGCCCGCACCTCGCTCAGCCAGTGAGCGGGAACCGGTCTGTATGTGGGATCCGAACCCTCGGCGGGAGCACCGCCACACTCCCAAGCGGTGCACTGCTAGCACTGTAGCAGTGCGCCACCGGGCCAGCCCGACATTTTTCAATTTCTATCAGAATTTATTGACATCCATGTTTAACTCCAGAATAGATGGATTAGATATGTTGTATGATAGGTACTCAAATAACTATTGCTTGAATTTTATTCCCTACTAAGGACCAAAGGAGGGAACTCTTTTTTTTTTTGTGACCAGTAAGGGGATTGCAACCCTTGGCTTGGTGTCGCTCGCACCGCACTCAGCCACTGAGCGCACCGGCCATCCCTATACAGGATCTGAACCTGCAGCGGGAGCGTCACTGCGCTCCCAGCTCCACACTCTCCCGAGTGAGCCACGGGGTCGGCCCGAGGAGGGAACTCTTATCAGTTTGAATCTGTATATATGAAATCTAACCTCATGCTAATATTCTATAAAATCACTTTAAAATAAAAATATCATCTCTAAGAGATTGAAACAGGGAAATAATAGATTTCTAAAAAGTGTAAACATCTCTTTCTAAACAGGAAAATATTAATGGCACATAAAATTTGGGAGAAAATTGGAATATTTGATATAAACATTTCAAAATAGAGAAATTAGAAATAGAAAAGTTTCCAAATATGTGATAGCTGCCAAAAAAATAAAAAATTCAAAATAGAGATAGCAGTAAATGAATAAATTAGCACTTTTCTTCTCAGGTAATCAACAATTTTTTACATAAATAAAATGATTTTTGAGCTAAGTAGCAAGCTTGGATAAAACTTTTATTTGACTCTTTGATATTTCTGCATTTTTTGTAAGTAATATTGTTGCTATTGTAGATACAATTGCAGAACATGAATTCTGGAAAACAGTTTTACATACCTGTTCAACGATGGTTGGCACGAGATGAAGAGGATGGGGAAATCTGTCGAGAATTTCCTCTTTTAAATAAAGGACAACCCATCCTTCCAGGTAGGGAAGATCCAATTCTATGCAGCACAAATAGAACTTGTTTGCCTAAAGGCTGAAGGACAGGGAACTCAACAAATACATGTTGAGTTAATGAGTAAGTGAATGAATGAATGATTAAAAGACTGCTGGTTTCTTTTCAATTACCTTGGCTCGTGTGGCAGCTGCATCTAAGTGCTTTTTAGTTGTTTCACATGTTGGCATTTAGGAATATGTTCTTGTCAACAGTTAGCCCCTTAGGAAGGTCAGCTGAAATGCCTCTTAATCAAAACAAGAAAATTAATGCTTTGAAGATCATGAGAAAATTGAATGTCAGGTGAAGTTACTCTAGGACTAAGTCAAGGTCAATGTGTAGTTTTCCCACAAGCTCTACCTTATTTTTGAAAATTTATCTATTTGATCAGGAAATGAAAGCACAACTACTCAACCACTTTCTAAACATTTGCCATAGCTGAGATGTGTTCAAGCCTTATGTAATATGGCTGAGAATAAGCTTTTGATCTGCTCACTGCTACCTGCCACAAGAATACAGGGTAATTTTGTCCATAAGAGCTGTTTGCTCTTGGGTCTGCTGGCCTCCACTTTGGAAGAGGATGGGAAAAGGGTATATGAGGATTATTAAATGGATAATTGGTAAAAATAGATTTTGCTTCAATCCAGGCTGTGTTCTGCCAAAAATTGTGATGTCTTAATTTTGTAAAGAAATAATAATAAATTTATTTAAAGATTTGGAAGAGCTCCACAATGTCATATAATCTAACATTAGGCTTAGGAACCTACCAACTTGTGTAACTTTTTGAGGGAACATAGACTGGTAAAATGTTTGCACAGACTGATGATTCTTTTGTAATTTTTAAATAAAGTGTAATACTATTCTTAAGTTTCTGAAGTTAAGATATATTTGAAAATACGTGAATAGCCCTATTTACTCAAAAGTGAAGGCTTGCATGAACGTTATTCTCACCATTCCAAAGCATTTTTCTCACCACTTATAAGCATTGTTCTCACCAGTCTTCCTTATCTTCCCACACAGTTCATTGGAGGAGGTGTTTGCTAGGTACCCTGTTCCTATACACTGTTAGTAATGATGCGGAGGTCACTTTTTGCTTCTTCCTCCCTCCTTTTTAATTGTGAGATTTTGCTCAAAGGAGGCATACTCTGCAAATACATACTGATTTTCTTTGCCTTCACTGTAGTGCTTGGTACTCATGGTTTATTAAAGAACATTTTTCTTTTCATTTTCTCCACATTTTGGTATTCTTTTTTTTTTTTTTTCCTTTTTGTCTTTTTTCGTGACCGGCAACGGATCGCAACCCTCAGTGTCGCGCCTGTACCGGACCGGGACCGGCAACGGGATCGCAACCCTCGGTGTTGTGCCCACACCTCGCTCAGCCAGTGAGCGGCCGGTCTGTATGTGGGATCCGAACCCTCGGCGGGAGCGCTGCCGTGCTTCCCAAGAGGCGCACTGTAGCAGTGCGCCACCTGGCCGGCCCCCACATTTTGGTATTCTAGCTGTACCCTGTCACGTGCTAGCTATAAACTTAGTAATCCTTTAGTTATCTAGGTCATTGGTGGATGTAGCAAATGATAACTGACCCTAGTCATATTTTTACCTAATAATCTAAGAAAAATTGATGCTGTATCTGAAATGATGTCATTATAGACAAGCGACAAATTTCACTAGAGGTAGACACATCAGTTCTAGGTGGTATAAATAAGGAAAGCTATGTTAATGTCTTTTTTGTTATATTTTTGTCTTTTAAGTTGATAAAGAGTTACAGTAGTAGTTGTCATTTAAGGCAAAAGGAACTCTAAAAGCGTTTGTCTAGTGTACCAGTAAGTATACTTTCATGTGTTCCTGTAAAATACGTTTTGTAATTATGGAATTATTTTCCTGCAGAGGATAAGAGCTGCTAAGCAAAAGTGGGCTCGTCCACGCTATATGAGCTATTTAAAAAATTTTTTTTATTTTTAATTGTAGTAACTAATACAAACATTAAATTTACCATCTTAAACATTTTTAAGTGTACAGCCTAATAGTGTTAACTGTATGTACTTTGTTGTGCAACAGGTCTTTAGAATTTTTGTATCTTACAAAGCTGACACTCTATATCCATTAAACACTAATTACTGCTCTTCCTGTTACCCCCTTGGCAACCATCTTTCTACTTTCTGTTTCTGTGGTTTTAACTGCTTTAGCTACCTCACTGAGTGTAATCATATGGTATTTGTCCATATGTGAATGGACTATTTTACTTAGTGTAATGTCCTTGAGGTTTATACGTGGTGTGATATGTAACAGGATTTACTTCTTTTTTAAGACTGCATAATACTCCATTGTAGGTATATACACCATAATTTCTTAATCTGTTCATCTGACAGTGGACAATTGTGTTGCTTCCATCTATTACCTATTGTGAATAATGTTGCAATGAACATGGGTGTGCAAATATAAAAATCTCTTTGAGATCCTGCTTTGGATTATTTTGGATATATACCCAGAAGTGGGATTGCTGGATCATATGATAATTTATGATAATTCTATTTTTAATTTTTTGAGGAATCTCCATACCCTTTTCCATAGTGGTTGCACCATTTTACATTCCTATCAACAGTGAACAAGGGTTATAATTTCTCTGCATTCTCTCTAACACTTGTTTCTGTTCTATTGATATTGGCCATCCTAATGGGTATAAGGTGGTTTTTCACTGTGGCTTTCCTTTGTGTTTCTCTAATAATTAGTGATATTGAATTTTCCTATGTTTGTTGGTCATTTGTATATCTTCTTTGGAGAATTGTCTATTTAAGTCTGTTTCCCATTTTTAAATTGAGTTTGTGTTTGTTGTCGTTGTTGAGTTGTAGGAGTTTCTTATATTTTCTGGAAATTAACCCCTTATCAGATATATGATTTGGAAATATTTTCTGCACTTCCACAGATTGCCTGGTCACACTGTTGGTTGTTTCCTTTGCTGTGTGGAAGTTTTTAAGTTTGATGTAGCCCCATTTGTCTATTTTTGCTTTTATTGCTTGTGATTTTGGAGTTGTACTCAAGGAATCATTGCCAAATTTAATATCCTGAAGATTTTCTTCTATGTTTTCTTGTAGGGAATTTTATGGTTATAGATTTTATGTTTAGATCTTTAATCTATTTTGAGTTAATATCTGAACATAATGTAAGATAAGGGCACAGCTTCTTTCTTTTGCATGTGAATATCCAGTTACCCAGCACAATTTATTGAAGAGACTGTTCTTTTCTCATTGTGTGGTCATGTCACCCTTATTGAAATCATTTGACCACATATTTCTGGGCTCTCTATTCTATTCTATTGGTCTGTTTTATGCCAGTACCACACTGACTTTACTGTTGATTTGTAGTATGTTTTGAAATCAGGAAATGTGAGACCTCTAACTTTGTTCTTTTTCAAGAATGTTTTGACTATTCAGGGGTCCCTTGACATTCCATATGGATTTTAGGATTTTTTTTCTATTTCTTTAGAAAATGTTGTTGGAATTTTAATAGGGATTGCATTGAATCTGTAGATTTCTTTGTGTAATGGACATTTTAACAGTAGTAAGTCTTCCAGTCCACAAACACAGGTTGTCTTTTTCATTTATTTATATTTTCTTTCATTTCTTTTAGCAATGCTTTGTAGTTTTTGTGTTCAAGTCTTTGACCATGTTGGTTAAATTTAATCACAGGTATTTTATTCGTTTTGATGCTATTGTAAATGCAGTTGTTTTCTTCATTTCCTTTTTGGATTGTTCATTGTTAACATATAGAAATGCAACTTTTTTTGTGTTGATTTTGTTGTTTTAACAAGTTTTTTTGTGTGTGGAAACTTTACGGTTTTCTATGTATAAGATCATGTAATTGGCAAACAGGTAATTTTATTTTTTCCCTTCTAACTTGGATTTTTTTTTTTTCTTCTCTAATTGCTTTCACTAGAAATTCCAGTACTATTTGAATACAAGTGGCGAGAATGGGCATCCTTGTCTTGTTTTTGATCTTAAGGGAAAAGCTTTTTGTTTTCCACAGAGTCTTATGTTAACTGTGAGCTTTTTGTATGTGGCATTTATGAGGTTGAGGTAGTGTTCTTGTAGTCCTAGTTTGTTGAGAGTTTTTATCAAGGAAGGATGTTGAATTAGAAATTTTTTTTGTCTGCATCAGTGAGATGATTATGTGTTTTTTGTCTTTCATCCTATTAATGTGGTATATTGCATTGATTGATTTTCATATATTGGACCATTTTTGCATATCCAGGTATAAATCCAGCTTGGTCATGGAGTATGTGCTGGGGGTGGGGAAGAGCTCAGGCATGTAAAATGTCATGCATTTTCCTACTGGCTTCGATGAGTTTCTTCTTGTCTTTGGGCTCGCCTGGGTGCAAGAACCACTTAACTGGTTTCTGGGATTCTTACAAAGGCAGTAATTCTGAGTATTGTTGTTAAGATGGTATCTCCCTGGGAGAATGTGGGTCTAAGGCTTCCTTTTGCACTGTCTGGCTGATGTCCTGTGGGAACTTTTTATTGAAACAACTATTTTGTATTTAATTTTATACAATCTACCCATGGGCAAATATGTCAATCACTTGAGAAGACTCCAGTTCACTTTTTAAAATATATTTGTCTTCTAAATTTTTCCATGGAAGATTAAAGAAGAATTGCTCTGATTACAATAATACAAAGATGATGGACTACTGTTACTCTGGTCACTCTTACCCTGTTTTCTTCTTCCAGCTTTAGCAATATGAGCTGCTTGGTTTTAAAAAAAATGAAAAGGAAATTTTGGTAGAAAAATAATGGGGAAAAGTTATTAATCTTTAGAGGAGGATTGCCGAGTTAACAATACAAGCAAATAAATAAAACTTCTTTCAATGATAAATACTTATAAACTCAGTTTGTATATGAGCTGAGGAGGAAGTGGAGTATGTGGAAATATTACTGATGTGAAATCCAAAGGACGGATGGAGCTGGTGGAGAGGGGCAGTGCAGGATTGTTTTTA